TCCCCCTCCCCCCCCCGCCCCCCCAGCTTGCTGTGCAGATGTGGATGAATGTAAAAATCCAGCTAGCTGATGGGATGACTGATTTGAGCTTGACCAGTGTAGATTTGTATCTGTGCAGGACTATTAATTTTATATCAAAACAGCGATGACTAAAGACTGAGCAGTCCCAGCTCGTGCCGGATCCCAGACACTGCATCTCTGCCTTTTAAAGTATAGCAAAAGCCTGGAGGTTCTTACATTTATATAAAAAAATTGTGAACCCCCTTATCATGGGATGACTGATTTGAGCTTGACCAGTGTAGATTTGTATCTGTGCAGGACTATTAATTTTATATCAAAACAGCGATGACTAAAGACTGAGCAGTCCCAGCTCGTGCCGGATCCCAGACACTGCATCTCTGCCTTTTAAAGTATAGCAAAAGCCTGGAGGTTCTTACATTTATATAAAAAAATTGTGAACCCCCTTATCAACTAGTCAATCAAACTAATCAAGTCAACTCACGGTTTGTGAGCTGCACACAGCTCTTCAAAGAAAAAAAATTGAAGCTCCCGCACCCACGGCTCTTCAAGGGGCAACTCTGTGAAAGAGCCACAGCATCCCATGCATCCTTCAAAATTGCCTGTTAAACGGGCAATGCCTGCTCTGCTCTTAAAAGGGCAGCATCTCAGCATCTGCCCCCGTCAGCTCTTTGCATCATATCCACCACTATTTTGGCTCTTCGTCTGTAACAGGTTGGCCACCCCTGAAGTAGTCAATGGAATTCCCAGCCCCTTTTCATCCCATCTCTCACAGGCTTGGTGTGATTGGTTTAAAATGAGCCCAAGGGAGCCAGTCCTGTAGCGACCACCACATGTTTGAAGTACAGGCAGTCCCCGGGTTACACGGATCCGACTTACATCGGATCCTTACTTACAAACGGGGTGAGGCAACCTCGCACTAGCTGCTTCTCCCCAGCAGACCAGGGAGACGCGAAGCTAGCGCCCCTCCCCCCCCAGCAGACCAGGGAGATGTGGAGCGGCTTATTCTCAAGCTGAGGTGTCTGCTGAGAAAAAGGACTGAGGGAAGTGAGGTGTGGGAGAATAAAACTCTGCTCTGGAGAAATGTTTGGCTAGAGTTTCCCCTACAATATGTACCAGTTCCGACTTCATACAGATTCAACTTAAGAACAAACCTACAGTCCCTATCTTGTACGTAACCCGGGGACTGCCTATACACTATCACAAGTCTTCCTGAGATCATATAGTAAGCTTGACATTTCCATTTACTCTATTTCATCCATTGAATAAGTATTAGAACAAACATCTGACAGTTGGGAGAAGCCATCTTTTGGCCAGTTCTCACTGCAAAACACTGGAGTGCTGCAGGCTCCCACTAGAGCAAAGCACCAGCTGCAACCTCTAGAAACCTGGTAAGGAAGCAACACTGCTGTTCTGAACCTGTGAGGAATGACAGGAAGCCTACAAGCTCCTCAACTACTATGCCTGATAGTCAGTAAGAAAGATCTATTAATGCCACATCCACACTTACCATTGATAAGCTCTCCACTCTAACATTGGTCTGCTGGTGTAGAAAGTACTGCGTGAGGAACTGGTTTATTGTTGGAGCTGCCAAGTCAAATGCCAAGACTTTCAAAACTAAGTGCTCCATCCTTAAGACTTGTTTCTTGGTGTAGGTATCATCTGTGATGTAAACAAACTCTGCTACTTCTGGAGGATAGATTTCTTCAAACTTCCTGCAGTTTGAAGAGAGACAGTAAACTTGTAGATACAGGTTAAAAGCCAAGTCCAGTCTCAGTCTTTACGAGAATCACATTAGCTAAATCTGACTGCAGTTGGATATTGCAGAGCACCATACTTTCCTAAAAAATCTGCTGGTTACTTCATTAAGTTGCTCGGTATGGCTTTAAAATGTTATTTGGAGAGCTTTAAGTTGCTTCTTCCCAATACACTATTGATAGTAATGTGACTGGAATACCAAATAAGAACTCCTAGTTACAATAGTGTCAGGAATCTCAAATTTTTCTTGGGCATATGTATCTTTAGACAGACTTTTTGAAAGCTTTTGAGAAAGACACTCCCCCACATGTCCCTCACACACCAGAACCTAGCAGGAGGTCAGGAGCACAGAAGCTACAAGGTGAGCAGTGGGGACTGGAGTACCAGTGCAAGTTCTCCAATGCTGGGGGGAAGCCCTGAATGCCAGGAGCTTATTCAGGCAAGCTGAGGAGCTATATACAACCCCTGGGCCTTAGTGATTGCTTCTTTTAACAGAGGGCAGGGAACCCAAGTTGTACCACCATCTCCCAGCTTTTTTCTGCAGCTGAGGAAGTAGACACAGCCCCAGGATCTTCCCTCTGGACACCTACAGGAAATATGAATTTCTGTAAGTTGAAAAGCAATGGATGCCAGTATAACTTACGATGCTAGCAACATAGCTGCAGTCCCCACAAGCTGAAGCTTTCCTCTCAGCACAGACATTGCAGAAAGAAATCTATCAATGTAGTTTACAGCTAAGTGCAGAGTTTCATTCTGTAATCTATATTCTTCTCCAACTTCCACCAGCCAATCCACAAGAATAGCTCGCATATTGTTTGTTATATCAGGCTGCTTCTTCATGTAGCCCACTTTAGGCTTGCATTTCACCTGTTAAGACAGTTGAGATTGAATCTCCTATGTACACTTAGCATTTGAATCTTGCAGAGAAGAGGCTGTTCCCTAGTCTGATTGTCAGGAGCTGGATAATCAAGAGATTACCTGTTTTGTTCATTCTTTTGGAAGCATGTGGCATTAGCCACTGTTGGAAGACAGAATACTGGGCAGGGATGTGAAAAGCTAATGGGTAAGGGCTGGAGCAGTTTCCCACCTGTGAGGGGCAGCTCCAGCCAGCTGGCCTGTAGTGACCCCCCCTGCTCACCCTTCCCTTTAATCCAGGGGTGGGCAATAATTTTTAAGGGGGAAGGGCCAGGAAATGTCTTGTGCTCCCTCCCCACCCCAATTGGCCTGGGATAGGGCAGCACGAGAAGTATTCCCCCCTCCCTCTAGAGAGAAACCCAGCTGTTTTAAGCCAGCTGGCAGTTCCTCTAAGCACTAGCAGGAGACCTTGCACACTCTCCCTGCCCACAGGCCAATCAGGGCCTGGGGGCAGGGGAGCACATGAGTGCTCTTCTGGGGGCAAGGAGACTTCAACAGCTAGAGAAACACCAGCAGTTTTAAAACAGCCATCTCTCTCTAGCCATTGCACGCCCCTGGGAGGGCAGGGACAGGATGCGAGACTTCACCCACTCCCTGTCCCAAGCAGCCTAGGGGCAGGGAGCACAAAGCCCCCCCCCCCCCCCAAAAAAAAAGACACATGGCAACTAGAGAAACCTGGCTGTTTTAAAACAGACAGCATGTGTCTCTAGCCACCACACATTCTTGTGGGGCCAAGGAGATCTGGCTTGCTCCCCTGCCTCCAGCCCCAATTGTCCTGGGGGAGGGGGGAATAGCAGGGTAGCTTGACAGGCCAGATTGGGCCCATGTAGGGCCCTTTGCCCATACCGAATTAAATGGGATTTTACATCCCTAATGTAGAGCTACATGGACCTTTGGTATGACCAGTATGGCTGTTCTGACAAAAAAAAGCCACAGCTACAGTAAGGATCTAGGAGTGTGTTAAATGCACATACTACAAGTCAAGTCTTTAAACATTAGATATCTTGAGATCACCAAGGCCATCCTCTGACCAGTACAGGTTTGTTCTCATCCTCTGTGCATTATCCAGCCAGTTTTAATATAAATTAAAGAATTCAGCAGTTTCCTGAGGAGATGACTCCACTGTCAAGTGTCATGCAGTAATCTATTGTCTGTCTTCCTTAGAAGTCGCAATTTATAGGTTCGATCACTGCACTTGTTTAACACCACATAAGAACTACTACATGCTGTGCAGAAATTAGATTGGACACTCGTACAAGTTGAGCGTCTCTAAACCAGGACACTGGTCTAGTGGACTACGGATGTTCCTGGACCAAAGAGCCCCAGTGGATGTCTGGTGGTGCCTTCCCCCCCCCGAAGTGCCAGGCTGGGAGGCCAGCAGTAGAGGGACTAGAATTGCCCTCCACTGGTCCACAAATTCCTTCATGAAGGACCTGTGAAGTATGCCTGTAGTTCTAAGGGTGTATTTATGGCCTCTTACCTCCATTTCCCTAAGGTATGTATAGATGTCGTCAATGTAGTCTGGTACCTGGTTAACATTTAATTTTTCTTCCATTTCTTGGATTACTGATATATCCATAATACTTGGAGAATCTAAGTGCAAAATAGTAACCACATGAATTTCATTTCATATGGAGTTGTCAGCCCACATAATTATTAGACTTAATAAGAAACTAAACTGAGCCACCAAGGCTGTGTGAGTTCCATGATAATACATACAACTGCAACCTGAGGTTTTGTTTTGTATGAATACTTCATTCCAGTTACTGGGAACTATGCATTTGTTCTTTAGGAAGCCCCTATCAACTGTTTCAGAAGGATGATGGCTCAATTGCCAACATCAAGTGCAAAGAGTTTTTTCTCTGGCCTCACAAGGAGAAAAGTCACCTTGTGACTGCCTTAAAATAAAGGCTGATTTGGAGTAAACCAAAGCCTGTGACCAGTGAGTTTAGAGGTTGGTCTGACATAGAGGTAGATGTTTTGTTTTATTTACAATGGGGATCAACTAGTTGCCAGAGCTACAGAACTAGACTACTAATATAAATGCTTCTTGGGAAGGCACAAACTGCAGCCAATACCTCTCTGTCATTACTTTAGAATCAGGAAACCAGCAGGCTATCATACAAGCTTATTCAAGTTTACCCATTCTAGAGCCATCTAGTACTGGACAGAGGGAATGAAGGAATTCATTATGCATGCCTTTTGGCAACTGGATTAGACCTTTCAGACACCATTATAAGTAAGGAAATACAGTATAGAATGAAGTATTAGTCCTGTTGGATTCAGTCAATTTAAAAAAAAAAATACATGGCACATTGTGAGGTACCTGTGCAGGCACACTGCATCACTACAATAGAGAGCAAGAATGCTACACAGCAGCAGCTATTTGTTCCCCATATAGGTTGAACTTCCTCAGCAGGCTGTAGGCTCTACTCCCAGGTCGAGCTGAGCTCCCTGCCCCCAGCCGTGCCTGCCCTTACTGGGGCTGCATTCCCCACCCTACCAGCCATACACAAGGGCCCGCCCACACCCCGCCACCTAC